CCCTCAGCTCCTCACAAAATTTCTCCGGATCTACCTTCTGTTTCTGAATTTCCTCTGCTTCCTCTCCCCCACCACACCCATAAATGATGCATGTCCTTCCTCTGCCTCTCTACACTTGGATGATCACCCTGAGCATCTCCTTCCTTCTCACCTGGCCTCCCTGGCCTCCTCTCACCCAGTCTCCGCCCTTCACACACCTTGGCCTTCACAAACTGTTGTTGGAAGGCACACAGCAGCAGCATCACTCTCAATCCATCTCCCAACCCCCATCCCAGTCCTGCTCTCCTGTGAGTGTGCAGAGGACAAGACTAATCAGTCAGTCTGTGCACCTAGATCCTCAAGTGGGAGAGTGATCTCACAGGGGACTTGACAAATCAAAAGGTGGTTTTATCCAACGGCTTTCAATTGAGAAGGGCAGGATGCAATTATTGTTGTTAAGATCACCATATACTGTGAGAAGTTGTGCATATATCGTACTAAAAGTACACGAAATGTAAGGCTTTCCTACTCAGCTGAGTTAGGGAGAAAAAACTCAAACCTCTTTGATGGGGAAGTCTGTGTGTATGTCAATAAAGCACTGTTGGCCAATAGGGAAGCAAGATAGGTGGGACTAGGAGTCAAGGAGGATTCTGGGAAAGAGAAACACAGGGAGACATCATGTAGCCACCACAGAAGAAACAGGTCCAGACCCTTTCTCCGGTAAGAGATTAACAATTATGGATTAAATACTTAAGTCAGAGATAGCCAGTAAGAAACCAAGCAAACAGCCAACAGCTTCATAAATAATACAGTGTCCTGTGAGTCATTTTGGGGTTCAGACAACGCGGCAGGGCCCAGGCGGGGAAGGCTACACTCTACACCTCTCCCTAGGTCATTCCTTGAATCTCTTCCATAACTTCCTGTAGTTTCTGAGTGACTACACAGTCATTTCCCTTTTCCTAAGAACAGCATTTATACCACACTAAAGTCAACCAAGGCCAGCTCTAGCCTGTCCTGTGGGCTCATGGAGTCTCTGTGGCATCATTCTGATCAGACCCCCCCCTACACACACACAAGCTCCAGGTTTCCAAATCTCTTTCCTCACCCTTACCACATCTGCAGACAGACCTACTGTCTCTCCTTCAGGTAGTGAGAGAAGGTGGGGGCTAGTGAAATGTTCCCCTGCCATTTCTGAGAGTCAATAAAGCATCTATATACAGGTTTAGTAAGTTCACTTCTTGTCCTTTGAGTGAAGAAAGGAAACAAATTCATGAAGGCCAGAACAGAAAGCAATGTTGAACTTTTGGGAAATACAGAGGAAGCAAGACACTGAACATGACAGATGTCTGAAATTCTCACCTTCTTGTTAAGAGAAGCTTTTTCTTTGAGAGGAGCCTTCCCGCCCGCCTGGTTCCAGATCCACATCAGTCCCAAATAAACACACAAGAGGCTATATTCATTATGAAGCTGTTGGCCTTGCTTGTCTCTTACTGGCTAGCTCTGCTTTAAGTAATTACCCCATAATTGTTAATCTAAGTATGTCTCTTACCGGAGAATAGTTCCGGGCTTCCTACCCATGCGGTTACATCTCGAACTCTCTTGTGTTTCTCCTTCCCAGAATCCTCCTGGACTCCTAGCCCCACCTATCTAGATTCCTATAGGCTCAACAGTACTTTATTGACAAATAACAGGACTTCCCCCAACACCCTCTTTTGTTCTAAAAGTCTGTTTTCAGGCAGACTTACTTTCTTGGTAAGATTATTTTTGCTTTGCTTTTAACATACTTACATGGAATCCAGTGTATGGATCTTAATGCAGAACTACTTAACTCCATGGTACAGATACATTAAAGAGCACTTGTTGATAGTCTCAATGCATGAAGAGCAGGGTCTCACCAGAGCACTGGGCAGATGATGTTAGCCCTGACACCTGAGCCCACCCTTCCTACTAACACAGAACCACAAGGGTGCCTTATGTGTCCTAGGGCCACTTCTGTGTCATTTGACCAGTAAATATAACCATACGGTAAAACTTCAGAGAGACTCTTATTTTTTGGATAGTGACAACAAATCTTTCTGGAACAACTATTACTCCCTTTGTCTTTTCCCTTCTTCCATCATGAGGTATGGCAATTACTCTGTGACATGGAGGAAAGTTAAAGATTAGAGCCAAGGAAGCCAGGAATAACCTGTGTACCTCCAGGCTTGGTTCTATCCGAAAGTAATCCTCCACTTATTTATACCACCTCTTGGTGTTTCTTTATAACATTGCTGAAGACAATGATGAACAACACAAATATTGTAATCAAAACTGAAAGTAAATAATCCCAAGCACGGGGACTGTTGATCGATCACCTTAACAAGCTTCTGCACATCACTTTTGATGAGGGTCCTATCCATGTTGAAGCCATTGCTTGGATCCAGGACAACAGCTTTCACCTAGAAACAGAGGATGCCAAGTATTTATTTCTTATAATGAAATCCACTTCCATTTTAGACAACTGCCTTGATGTTCCGCAAGTCTTCTTATCACACCACTCACTAGGGCTTTCATTAAAGTCTAGAGATAGAAAGCAATGAACATCAAACTTGAATAGGAGCTACAAAATTACATACCAAAGAGGCTGAAAGCAATGGTTACAGTTATGGAGTAGGAAACTATGGTGTATCTTATGTTTTCATTGTATGCTGTTACCCAAACCAAGAACACAGAAATTAAAGCAATGAGTAACTTTTACAGTATATATTTGAACAAAAACATATGTTAAAACATCACAGCAGAATATTATCGAGGTTTCTAAGCTTCACGGGATCTCCCAAATCAGTCATTGTCAGTCTACAACACACTTTATAGACTTGGAAAAGATATTTTTCACTAACTCATCTGATGATCTCAATATGTTTTCAACTAGAGCATTCAGGAAAGCTCCCAAGAATTTTAAAGAAAAACACTTGATATCACATTTAAAATTTTTTGATAAAACAGTAATTTGCAAAATTAATCACTCTTACCATAAAAGCAACCACTGTTTCAGAAGCAATCTCTCCATGAGCTGCACATTCTTGTCCTATTTCACGTATAATATTCTTTATAACACTTTCTGCTTGAGTGGGAGGCATTGTGGCTAAATAAAGCAATAATTTTTTTTAGTAATTTCACTTATGTATTTTCCACTTTAGATTCCATTAATAGATCTGGAATAACCATAATGTCTACTGAATTATTTCTGTTTAATTATGATCTAGTTCCTTCCTTTTTCCATTTTAAATGACTTTATTAAAGACAGAGTAACTGGGATTTCCCCTTATTTAAATGATGCCACCATCAAAAATATATATCGTAACATTTAAAAGAAATTAGCCGGGTATGATGGAACATGCATTTAATCCCAGTACTCGGAAGGCAAACAAAGGCAGATTGCTATGAGTTTAAGTCTAGCCTAGCCTACATAGTGAGTCAGGGTTACAGAGTGAGACCCTGCTTCAGAAACAAAATACAAAACAGAAAAAAATTAAAAAGCTTAACAGAATTTGGGAGAAAAAAAAAGGAAAAAAAACTACCCCTTATCTATGTAGGCAGCAAGAATACAGCTTGTAAAAGAAAATGCTTATGAGTGCATTCTCTAGAGACCTTTCACAACTGTAGTATAATTTCATAACTGTGAGAAGATTCTTTTCTCGGATTAATACATCCTTGGGAAATGGACTCTAACAAAAGCATAAAAAGCAAACAATGAAAACTTAAAGTTATGAACCTCAAAAAAATAACGGCTAAAATTTCATCTATTATAAACTAGGAAAGAGTGGTAATCTTAAATCAGGGCTCCCGATTTTCCCCTATCAGTTAACACAAGGAACGTGCAAGTAAAAAGAAGCAAAGTCAGGAGCGCTCTGAGGGGGTCGACAAAGTAGCCTTAGGCGGTTTGTATGGGAAACCAGATAGCCTGGAGTTCATCAGCGTCCAACCGCTTCTACCCGACAGACAAGCATCTCTTTGGAAGCCAGTTTGCTCATCCGAAAAAAAAGATGGGTTATCACCTTCTCCTGTGGTTAGAAGAGTTCGCGACTTGGCCCTAGCACCCTAGCAACGCACTTGTGGGAGTGTCTGAGACCTGTGGGCCACACAACCGGGGTTGAGCCCGCTCCTTCCGGCGCGCTCACGCAGAGCTGGAGCCGACCACCCATCCCTGTCTGTTACCAACCACCAGCACCAGCTTCTCAGCGGTCGGACGTCCGTCTCCTCTCCGGGTACACCCTCCGTTTAAGGGCCCGGAGTTCCCAGGGCGCTGGCCTCAGCCGGAACGCCAGCCGGCCGCCGCTCTCCCGGCCAGCCCCAGAGCCCTAGCAGAGGACCGACGCGTAACCGTGGAGACCGAACAGGACGCCAGAAGCTGGGGGCGGGGCCGGGCCGGGCCGTGGGGTGGGACCAGAGGGTGGGGCGGGAGGAGAGCCCTGACCCGCTGCTGACGTGGAGCCTTGAGCAGACAGGTGTGGGGCTCCCCCCTCAGTTTCCCAAGAGACAAAGCAAAAGAACTCAAGTCGTTTTCACTCCACCTCAGTATTAAGGCAATGAAACACGAGTTCTGAAACAAATGTTCCTGTTAACTTGCTAATGTGGAAGCATGGGAAAAATGCATCAGTTGAAAAGAATGAGAAAACCTAGGGTTCTTGGAGTTATCAGTGTTTATAGTTTTGGGATTTTGTGTTTTGTTTTTATTCCTTCAAATGAATGCTTTCATTTCTCTTGCTCAAAGGAAGTCTGTATGCTGGTGTTCCAAAATGCAAAATTAAACTTTTCATTCGGGAAGTGTATTCAAACCAGATGTGGCGATGCAGTTCTGCAGTTACAGACATTGGGATGCTGAGACAGAAAATTGCAGTTTTAAGACACCCTACACTGTATGGTGAGACTCTGCCCCTAGCACCCAGAAGATACAAGTATGGAGAGCTCCGTATTTGGAATTGGGAATAACCATTTTTTGTTTGTTTGTTTGAGAGAAGGTCACACTATGTAGTCTTGGATGATCTGGAACTGGACTTGTAGACCAGGCTGGTCTTGAATTCACAGAGATCTACCTACCCCAGTCCCCCAAGCACTGGTCAGATGCCACCATGCGAGGTCAATGATGGTAATTTTGATTCTTAAAAAATATATTTGTTGCAGGGTTAGAAATGTGGCTCAGAGGTTATGAGCACTGGCTGCATTTCCAGAGGACTGGGTTTGACTCCCAGCAACCACAAGGCAGCTCACAACTGTCTGTGATTCCAGTTCTAGGGCAGCCAATTCCCTCTTCTGGCTTCTCCCTGTTCTGGGTGCCAGGCACGTGGGAGGTCCACAGACATACACCCTGGCATAACACCCGTACCCATGAAATGAAATAATAATACTTTTTAAAGTTTCCGGCGCTTCTTGGATGGACATAATAAACGGTATTTTTTATTATTTCTAGTTATGAGGAGCACATGCTACCACACACCGGTGAGGGCCACAAACAACTTGCAGCCCTCTGCTACCCAGTTTGTTCTCAGGTTTTTATTTTTTGTTTTTGTTTGTTTGTTTTCCCACATGCCTTTACTGGCTGAGACATCCTAACAAACTGTTCTTTATTGTTACTTTGTTGCTGGGATGCTCACTGTGACCATCAGTAATTTGGGAAAGAACGAGTTTAGTTAGCTTTTCTTTCCAGCCGAGGGAAGTAAAGGCGGGAACCTGGAGCAGAACCCGTGGAGGAGCGCTGCTTACTGGTTTGCTCACTAACTCATGCTTAGCTAGATTTCTTTTTTTACTATTTTAACTTTTATTTATGCATTTATTTAATGTGTGTGCATGTGTCTGTTAGAGGTTCCCATAGAGGCCAGAAGAGGACATCAGATCCTATGCAGACAGAATTACAGGCACTTATTTGTAAGCCACTTGACATGGATGCTTTGATCTCAACTATTATCTTCGCGACTGAGTATCAAGTGCTTTAGTAGCTAAGCCTTCTCCCCAGCCCCACAGCCAGCTTTCTTATACAGCCCAAACCCACCTGCTTAGGGTCAGGGCCACCCACAAGGGGCTCTGCCCTTCCACATCAAACATCAACAATAGCCAGGCAGGAAGTATAGTAAGGGCCACCAGAGGAGGAGAATGCTGGAAAGAGGAAGGCAGAGAGGAGCTGCCAAAGAGATGCCATGTAGCTGCCAAAGGAGTAAGATGTTGAAGCATTACGGGTAAGCCATAGGAAGGGAGAGGGGAAGGGAGAGGGGAGCTACCCAATGACACTTCCCACATGTACAATGACAGAGTCTCTGTCCCTCCTGGTCCCACAGCTGTTTAGACCCAAATAAACACACAGAGGCTTATATTAATTATAAACTGGCCAATGACTCAGGCTTCTTATTGGCTAGCTCTCTCTTAATTATTAACCCATTTCTATTAAACTATGTATTGACACAAGGCTGTGGCTTACAACTGCATACCCCTAAATACAACTCTGTAAATCAAGAATCTTGCAGGATTCAAGATGCTGACATTTTATTAGACCAGATGGATCAAGAAAGACTCAACAGTGTAGATAAGTCCAGTGGCATATATGAGATTTATCTGTAGATGTTGGCCACAAACCAACTACTTTTGTTTAGAGCATTAAGGTGAGAGGTATGGCTCGCCGGCATGTCTCTATTCAGTAAAAGCCATCCATCCATCATCCATCCATCCATCCATCCATCCATCCATCCATCCATCCATCCATCCATCCTGACAGTACTGAATGCCTATAAATATTTGTCTGGGAACACAGACTAGACATGTGGGATATGCATTTTGTTTCCAGATAATGCAATTTGGTTCTAAATAGCAGGAATGTCACTGGGGAGCCTGAATGAAGGGACAAAGTACAGAGCCACGTGTCTGTGATCACTGACACAGATGCCAAACTTGCTTGTCATTGCTGCCAGACCTATGTTGGAGACCAAGATTCATGTCTGAAGTTGATCAAAAAGGTGTTCACTAATTCATACTAAATCCCTTGTTAATGTGTTTGTTTTTACTTTCTTCATTGTTTTCTTTTTCGAAACAAGGTTTTCTGTGTAGCCCTGGCTATCCTGGAACTTGCTCTGTAGACCAAGTTGGCCTCGAACTCACAGAGATCTGTCTATTTTTATTTTTTTATATTTTAATAAGAACTGTTTCTTACTCTGATGGCACACTTTACTTACCTGGCTTTACTTTTCGGAGACAGATGGTCCCTGCCTGTAGAGACTCTAGCATTCTCCGTTAGTTCTTGTGATTATGTCATTCATCCAAAGCACAGGTACCCAGAGTCAGTAATTACTGAGAATAGATGAAACGTTTACTCCAATTGAACACACTTTTCCTGATACATTAACTTTAACACACCCATCATCTCTATTTCATGGTAGAACTAGCCTGTCAAAAACTCTTCCATAAGTAGACATGAGTGGTAGATCAAGGCCCCATAATCTGTGTAGTCTGCAAGTTAAATCCCGTCTTTGCCTGTTTTTGTACAACTTAAATGTGAGCAGCTTTCTGGCCACAGTGACAAAATGTCTGAGAAAAGAAACAAAAGGCTCATGGTTTCAGAGGTTTCAGTCAATGGTAACTTGGCCCCATTGATCCTGAGGCCCAGGACAAGTTTTATGGGATTTTTTTTTTCTGGACAAGACATGGATGTTGCTCTCATCAACTCTCAACAATATGGCTGCCTGGTTTTTCCCCGCCAGTCGCCTGGGCTCTGCCGAGTTGTAGTCCCCAAATAACACACAAGACGCTGTATTAATTATGAAGCTACTGGCCTTGCTTGTTTCTTACTGGCTAGCTCTGACTTAAGTAATTACCCTATAATTGTTAATCTAAGTATTTCTCTTACCGGAGAAAAGTTTCCGGGCTTCTTATCCCTATGGCAGTTACATCTTGACTCCCTGTGTTTCTCCTACCTAGAGTCCTCCTGGACTCCTAGTCCCACCTATCTTGTTTCCCTATTGGCCAACAGTGCTTTATTGACATATACACAGGACTTCCCCATCAGCTGCCTGCATAAAACCTGCAAAGACCACACCAAGATACAAGCCAGCATGGATAGAGGACAACTTTATATGGTCCAATCCCTACATGAAAGCTACAGACAGTCAAACGGGGCTCATAAAGAAATGAGTCCCTGGTAGGTCATCTGCTCCAAAATGGTCAGCCCTAAACATATGTACATATGAGCAACACTAAATAGGTGTATGTAAGACAATAATTATAGAGGAGATCATGAACTTGAGAGACAGAGGACAGAAGTAGTTGGATGGGGAGAGAGGAAAGGTAGAAATGATTTAAATACAGTACTCATGTACAAATTTCTAAATATATTAAAAACTTCAACTTAAAACGTTAGCTGGCACTCTGTGAGTTCGAGGCCACCCTGGTTTACAAAGCTACACAGAGAAACCTTGTCTCGAAAAAAAAAAACTAAAACAAAAAATAATGTTAGTTTGTGGTGGGCGGGGTTTTAGAGAAGTCCTACAAGCCCAGGTGCTCTTTCACTTTAATTTAGTGATTGTTGACATCAGTGGTCCAGACCATCGCAGGCCATGTGTCAGGCACAGAGGACTCTTCATCCCTAACTTGTATAGATACTTTGCTTGGAATCCTCTCTGAGTTATTTATATGCAAGGCCGAGAAATTCAAATTTGCTGAAAATTGATGTTTTGCTAACTAGACATTAGTCTCTGTATTGCAGGTTACACTCCACAACGCAAACGATCTAAGAACACACTCCTTTACCTATTTTCAACTGCAGCACATGTGAGTGTGGTTACACATCTGATGCAGAAACAAATCAGGCCAGGTACAGAAGTGCGTTTCGACTTCCTCGAAGTACTGTTTTCCCTTCCTCTCTCTACAGGTAGAGGCAGTGCCTTGGAATACGCTTTTGAATACATTGGTTTTCCATGAACATGTTTACAGCACAGAAAAGCAGAGGGAGAGATGAGAGCAAAGGCCAACGAGACCTGAGAATGTCTGAAAATGCCACATGAAATTCATTACTTTGAAAAATGACATAAAAGAAGAAAACAGAAATCGATAACTTTTATGATAATTTAAAAAGTCAATTAAAATTCTTACAAACAAATGGTACTCTGAACAAATGTCAATGCATGGTATTAAGTATATTTATTCAGCTTTGGACCACTGTCTTTTGGGTCGACATTTTAGCTGAAGCCTATTCAGCATCCGTTTCATTGTCCTTAGTAAGATTGGAAGGTGTTTTCTTTCTTTCTGGCAGAATAAAGTCGGCATGCCCCGGGGAAAGCCTGGGGAAGGTGTAGTTGATATACTTCTGAAATGCTTCCCTGGTTTCCTGTAGTTCCTCCTCCAGAAAATCTTTCCAGTTTGTCATGATTCCCAGTTGCTTTGCTACAGACATCAGCTCCCCCTGGGTATTAACCAGCTTATTCATCACAGTGTCGAGAGTGGCCTGATGTGTCTTTTCTGCTTCTTGAAGCACTTCCTGCACTTCTTCTTGCTTCTGTCTCTGAGCCAGGCCATAGAAGGCATTCATTTCATGTTCCTTTGCTTTTATCAGCTGGCCCAAGCTAGTCTTCTGGTCTTTAATAGCTGTTACACCAGAACTCACAAGTTCCTCCAAGACCTTGCTGCAAAAGATCACACAGATTTACAAATTAAATTGAGGAGCCACTAAAAACACAAAGAAGTTATTGTTAATCACAGAAGAGTCCCAAACTGAGAAACCCGGTATGCGTGAGCTTTCAGAATTGATTAGCTGCCAATAATCAATTAAAAAATTGTTCTCAGAGGCCACCCATCAGTTTCTCTGCCATGGATTGGGGCAAACCCACTAGTGTCATGCCTAATGGCAGCACTGGGGGGTCTGAGCTCACTGTAGCCAGAAAAAGATAAATGCATTGTACTGAAAACAATGGGGAGACAGAGTCACGGTCCTAAACCCACAAAGAAGGTATTTCTTCAACCAATTCAGCTCCTTTTGTTGTTTTATTTCTTTGAGATGATATCATTCATGTTTGATTTTTGTTGCTTTGAGTGGACTTGTATCAACTACATAACTCAGGCTGACCTTCAACTCTTTTATTGTTGAGATTATAATATAATTATGTCACTTCTACCATCTTTTCTCCCTTTGAGCCCTTCCATACACCACTTCTTGCTGTCTTTTTATGTCTAAATTATGTCCTCTTTTTCATTAGTTGTTGTTACATGCATATATATATATACACATATATAGTTATATATGCACATATGTATTCTAAATATAACCTGCTTGATATGCATCACGTTAACCGGTATGCATGTTTCAGCTCACCATTCAGTGTTGGATAACCAGTTGTGTTCTTTCCTGAGGAAGACTATTTCTCGCACTTTCAGCATTTCTCTGTTGCCTGTAGTTCTTTGTGTAGAACCGAGGCCCCGTGGGCTTTCCTCTGTCCACTTTGACATGCCTGTCATTGCTACCTTTGTTTGGCTCAACTGTAGGCAGCTATGTTGGTAAGCTTTCATGGGTGTAGCTTCTGATACTACCAGAGACAAAATCTCACAGCAAACTCCCTGACCGTAACCTCCAACTCTTGATCCACTTCCTAAGTGCTGGCTGCTGAGAGCTGAGATTACAGGCCTAAGCCAGCAAGCCCTTGTTGCTCATCTTTAGCATAGACGGAAGCAGACTTTATTCTCATAGGTTAGCTTTAGGTTTAATCTTGATTTAAACTGAGCTATAGTTAGCTGTAGATTATCTCTGACTTTCTGATCACAGAACCAAAATCCTTTTACACTCAAAATTCATATAGTTTACATGAATTTTAGCTGTTGATGTTAAGGGTTAGGAGCTAAAAGACAGACATTTAAAAACACTCATTGATTAATGTAAAATAACAAATCAATTATACTTTAACACAAATATTTTATGAAAAATATTTTCCAAAACAAAATATAATATTTGATGAAAAGACTGGCCTAAATTTACACTCATTTACAAAATTCTTTTATGTGTGGCATAAAACAAAGCTGTTTTTTCATGTTATTTGAATATACTATGATATCCTATATATGAAAACTCCTGAAAAATATAACACTCATTAGAGAGAGAGAAAAAAAAGAAATAACACCATCTTCTTGTCAAAACAATGACTTTTGACTTCATGGATATGCCCTTCCCTGTCAAAGAGTCAGGGGTCCTGGGGGTTCTTGGATCATACTTCTGAATGACTCTGTCCTCTGGTTGCTTACATTATTTTATATATATACATATATATGTATTTATATTATATATAGTACATTATACATATATAGAAAAGGTTAGATACATACAGGTATGTAAATACACAGGCTATAAATATATACATTATAGCAGCCAAGCCTATTGAACTGTTACCATGTGCCAAGCAAGGGACAGGCTTTTGTGTATATATTAATCAGTAAGTCCCAAAATTCAGTTAAGTCATTCCATGACTATGCCCAGTTCATGATGAGGACACTATGAGTGAAGTAATTTGTCAGAGTTCACTTCTAAGTGATGGCAGAGGCAATGTTCTCAGTAAGGGTGACATGCTTCGTGAATTTCTGTAATTAACCTAGTTTGAGTAAGATGTCTGAAGAATAAAATATCTACAAATGTTGGGTGCTCATGATTGGTATTGATATCTCCCCATCTCCTTCCTTCCTGGTGCTCCAACACAAATGAAGCCTCTTCAAGACTTACCTCATGCCGTTGTCTACAATCCACCTTCAAAGTTGGCATTCTCTAAATTTCTCTAGTTCCTTTAGCCTGTCTTTAAGCCTGAGAGACTTCCTGCCTTAGCTGGGGTTTACCATTGCTGTGAGGAGACACCATGACCACGGCATCTCCTATAAAGAAAACAATTAATTGAGGGGGCTGGATTACAGCTCAGAGGCTCCGTCCAGCTAGGTGGGGAGCATGGTAACATGGCAGGCAGAGATGGTGCTGCAGCTGAAACTGCCACAACTTGCAGGCAACAGGAAGTAGACTGACACACTGGGCAGTGTCCTAACTACATGAAACCTCAAAGCCAGCCCCCACCGTGACACACTTTCTCCAGTAAGGCTACAACCACTCCAACAAAGCCACACCTCCTAATACTGCTACTCCCAATGAGATTATGGGGACCAATTACATTCAAACTACCATACCTCCCTAATCTTGATATAATGTCATTCATCTCTAGTTACTAGGGAGTTCTGATTCCTCTTTACATATTATATATTCTGTTATATCCACCATAAACGCAGGGGTTAATGCTTAGTGCTTACTTTGTCTTCGGGACTACTCTAAGCATTTTACATGTATGCTCATTTAATTTGTATTAGAGCCGAGGGATGCTGTTTCTATTTTTACTTACACTGGTATTCCCTTGTGACAGGTAAGGAACATGAGCTCAGCAAGAGCTGTTAGAACTATTGTTCAAAGTCACACATGTAATTGAGGAAGCAGGAGAGCGGCTGCTCTTAGCCACTACTTGCTTCAGTCTCATAAGAGGTCACTATAAAATGTTTCATTGGTAGGACAACACAACGAAAACAACATTTTAGAATAGTATTCTGGTAACAGTAAGAAAGCTAAACCTTAGTGCGGTGAGTCAGGGAGACCACCTTGTATCATTCTGCAACCTTCTGAATTAGCGATGAACCACAAAGACAGGAATCAAGACAAAAAGCAACAAACCCAAGAAACACCAAAGAGCCCTAACTGCCAGCATCCAGGACTGCTGGGGTCTACACGAACCTACCAAGGAGGAGGCAGACTTGGTCTCTGAATGAGCTGGAAGCTGTAGGCATCAGTAACAGTAGCCATGCTGTAGAGTTCTGAATTCATACTCACAGGAATCTGAGGGCTATACCCTGGTGTTTTATTAACAGGTTATTAGTGAGGCTGGGACCAACATCTCTAGGGCCTAGGTCAGGAAAAGTTTGGAAGAACTTTCCATGACCCTATCCAACATCCCCAAAGAGAAAGGTGTGCTTCCCGGGTGAGCCAGAAGGTTCCTGGCACTAACCTTAGGTAAACTAGCCTGGGTATCCACCACTTTTCCAAATAATCTGATGGCAAAAGCTCCCAGCAAAAAATCTGGTATTTTTCTGAATATACTTTGTCAATTTCTCTCAGTCCAATTCAGAGCTTGAATTTTTGATTCTTTGAAATTTACACCTTTTGAGTTCAGCTCTAGAAAGTTCTGATGATTTACTTGAAGTTCTAGAATTGAAGCCTCACATGGGTTGTGGCATGAGCATGGAGGCTGTGGCACTTTTATCTTTGGATCTGCTCTGTATGACATGGCTGGTGTGCATACAATGGGTAGGGAAATACATGAGAATAGATAGCATGGGTTATACAAATATAGTTCTCATTAATACATTGTGTTGTTCCAATTAATACCAAAGTTTATACTATCTAGATTTGTGAATAATAGAAGCTTAAGAGAATCCATGCCTTTCACCAGATGGTGGTAGCACACGCCTTTAATCCCAGCACTCAGAAGGCAGAAGCAGGGGGATCTGTGAGTTCCAGGCCAGCATGGTCTACAGAGCAAGTTCCAGGACAGCCAAGGCTATTACACAAAGAAATCCTGCCTTGAAAAGCTGAGAGAGAGAGAGAGAGAGAGAGAGAGAGAGAGAGAGAGAGAGAGAGAGAGAGAGAGAGAGAGAGAGAGAGAGAGAGAGAGAAAGTTTAGTTAAGACTCTTAAACCCTCCATCGGCCATGTCTCATTATACAGGAAACTCTCCTGTCTTTGCTCATTGTTCTCATTCTTAAGTCTCTCACAAAAATCAGATGTCTCTTCCAAAGACCAACACAAGACAACTTCCTCCAGAAGCCTCCCTGACTATGTAACTCACCCCACTTTAATGATCTGTTCAGAAGTTTAACTCTTTCAGTCCCTGTGTGTTATTTGTACCGGTACCGTGCTCGGATGCAGAACATACTTTGGTTACTTCATTTACTATTGAGGAAAGGCCTTAATTTCTTCCTACCAGAGCTTCATTTTCAAATCCATTTGATCTAGAAGACACTTGATAAGTTCAGGTGAAGTGGAAAAACTCACTCAATAACTCTAACAACTTCCTGTAGAACAGGTTAGTACCATGGAAAATGGCAAATAAAACACAAGCCAGGGTTTGACTCAGCCCCTGCCACTTCCTCTTCAAATGAGCTTCATAGTTGGCTTAGTTTCTTTCTGTGACTCAGGACTTAGTCTGAAGATATGCAAGATGGCAGACTCTCCCCAAAATGGTTACTAGCTAGTTTACTTACACTTCTGAGACAAATTTCACTTATGTCTGGTTGGCTAGATCTTATTATGAACACCTGTCCCTCCTGCCTCTGATTCTGAGTGCTGGGTTACAGGCATCTTCCACTAAGCCTGGGTCTCCCCCCCCAAAGAGATTGGAGAAGTATATAAAGGGCCCATGTGCACTGGTTATTCGTAGTTGTCATAAAATTATAGCCATTAAAGGCAGGTAAAAAGGTGTTCTACACTCCTAGTCATCAGGGAAACATAGATCAAAACCACTATAAGACTCCAGCTCAGTTCGATGGCCATCATCAGAAGTAGAAACAACAAATACTAGAGTAGATATGGGGAAAAGAGAGCCCTTACATGCTGTTGGTAGGAGTGTAAACTAATACAGCCTCTATGGAAACCAGTCTGGCGTTGTCTCAAAGAACTATAAACAGAACCACTATACATCATTCCTGGGCATATTCCTGAAGGATTTTATACTGCACTGCAGAGATCCACGTTCATCTATGCTCATTGCTGGATAACTATTCACAATAGCTAGGAAATGGAATCAAAGCAGATGTCTTTAGACAGATGCATAGATTTAAAAATGTGGTGTATACGACATAGATAAGCAATGGAATTATTGCTCAGCTGTAAAGAAATAGGGAAATCTGAAGGTATCACATGAAGGGTCTCTAGCCCACTTCCTGATAGCATTCTTGTCCTGTTTTGAACCATCATGGACTCCATTATCTGCACTTCTATTGGCATTGTGTTCTTCCCACAAGAACAGTCCCTGAAGCCTGATTACAGCACTGAAGGACTTTTCTACCCTAAATTCTAGATCCTCCCACCATTACTACAACCCAGTTCCAAAGACCTAAGGACCACATGATCAGATTTATCACAGAGACTGTCTCATTTCTTAGTACTGATTTTCTGTACTAGTTAATTTTATTGATGCTGCAACAAAACACCTGCCACAGCAACTTAAGAAAGTAAGGTTTTAGCTTTGTTTCCAGCATGGGGGTGTGGTCCATCATGGAGAGGACAGTACAGCAGCCAACACACACTGCATCCCCAGCCGGGAAGCAGGGACTGGTGAGAGTGGATGCTCAGCGTGCAATCTTCTTGTTATGCATTCTGGAATCTCCTGCCCACATCTGAGGTGAGTCTTCCCACCTCAACTAGCCCAATCTACAAAAACTCTCACAGACATTTCTAGGGTTTTATATACAAGGGGTCTCTAGATTCTATCAAGTTGTCAGTATAAACCACCAGAGTATCCAAATAAATTCTTTAGCAGAATTTTAATTATGTCTCTCTCCACAAATCAGTTTCTTCAAGTGACTAAGGAAACTGGGATTTAGTAATGTCTAGAGATAAGATCTGGTACCCTGCAGAATTTAGCTGATCAGAATAAATTGGTAGCATTTGTTCAGAGGTTTATAAGGGCTAGGGTGTTGCTCAAATCTAGAGCACCTACCAACCATGCAAAAAGTTCTAGATTCAACCCCTACCACCCAAGAAAATGGTAGAAACAACAGAAAAGAATGAATGATTTTGATACATAGAACAAGCCTGTATCTGTGTTAGGCATTCTACAAGTGACGTGGGAAATAGGATGTTACAGGTCCAGAGCCACGTTACCTTGGGCAATGTGTAACCTCCCAAATAGTCACTATTGCTTACTTCCGTGTTTCACCTAGCATCCTTGTGAACTATCAGGTAAACTTTTTTTGTAATGTGTAAAAACACTCCTTAACTTCCACCAATCCAACCCAAAGAGCAATAATGTCATCAGATCACACCTGAGGCCTATAACAAAGATTTCCTTTTCTGTGACACTCCTACCTATCCAATGTTTCCACCTATGTATTTAAAAATGCAATGACTTGTAACTCTTTGTTCTGGAGTTGTGGAGATGGCTCAGTTGATAAAGTGCTTGCTTTGCCAACATGAGGACACGAGTTTGATTCCCAGAACCTTTGTTAAAAACAACAACCTAGCATGGTGATGCATGCTTGCCATCTACAGAGGCTGAGACAGGTGAGCCCTGGGACTCTCTATGACTAGCCTACTTGGCAAATTCTAGTCCAGTGTGAGATCTGTCTCAAGGGGAAAAGAAAGAGTTTGGGTAGTTCCTGAGGTCAGTTTGCCCTCTGACCTTTATTTGCACGCACACAAAGTGAACATACACGCATAAATACAAACATACGTGCTAACACACTCATGCAAATACATGCGCAAACCTGTTACCAGGATATTTGAGATAACCCGAATCTTCTTTGTAGCCCAGGTAATTCATATTTTGCTCTTGAATAAACTTTTCCCTGTTGCCTCTGAGTAAGAACAGTGTTTTAACATTAACAAATGCTTTCCATATACCAGGCTGTCTTCGAGACATTTGGGAAACATGAATGAGCAAAATGGACGTTTTATTTGGATTAGTGTTAAATAATAGTCGTGGCAGCTCTCTAATCTTAGTCAATAAAAGATGGAAATTGAAAAAAAACCTTACTCTCAAGCCTCACAGAGGAACAGGGGAACAGTGGAAAGGGGAAAACAAGGGCGGATACAGGAGACTGCCAGTGTGTGTGAGGATTGAATCCAGAGGCTCCGGAAGAAGAGCCAGAGCTCCTGGCAATGGAGAGGAGAGGGAGAGCGCAGAGGTCCTGACGTCCACTGTACTAGACCACAACTCATTGTCAGCAAATGCTCTCTGTTCACAAAGATACGGTTAGGCAGAAGAGAGGTAACCTGAATACCACAGCTCTCCACCCTTCTTTGTGGCCACTAGAATGGCTGATTTTAACTCAGGGAGAGATTTGTCTTTAAGATTTGACCTATCAGTTATACACAGGTAGATATGCTTAAGTCAAGCAACAAAAACCAAAAGGGACAAACCCAGACGTGGAGGACAAACAGGAAGACTCCATCTTGGTTTTGCTGTTATAGCTTGGGGGTCTTGGGCAGGCTACTCAATATCTAGAAATATGATTTTGTCTTATACCAGCAAGCCTTGCACTCCTGACTGGGTTGCCTTAGTTTGCTCTCTCTGTCTCTTCTCTCCCTCTCCCTTCTTCCTTCTGCCTCTCTCCTCTCACAATGCACACTTAGGTATAATATGATCTGTAAAAGTTATTTCTGGTTATGTACAAACACACACACACACAAACACACATATACACACATATACACACACGGCCATGAATATGTCAAAGGATGTAGAAAGATATAAGCCTTGTTATATAAAGTGTTTGTTTGGGAGAGACAAAGAAGATGTGGGAAGTAATAAATAGGGACTTGTGTTTTTTCCATACATTTCCATGGAGTCAATATTTTTGTGTACACACCTACTCATTGACAAGGAAAAGATCAAGAACCAACACATGTTCCACAGTGTGTGAACCAGGCTGAAAACAATGACTCTTAAGTATTTAGTAAAAGTGTTTACTGATTCTTCTGAGTCTTTTAATGCTGGAGATACAAAACAAGAAACCGTGTTGAAAGGGGGGGTAGAGATATGACTGAGAATATAATGCAGACCTTCACAAGTGTTGGCAGCTTTCAACCCCTTATGCTATGTGTTAGATACTTAAGTACTTATGCTACCATTTTTTTAAATCGCCCCCCCCCCTCCTTCTCCCTCTCCCTCTCCCTCTTCTTCCCTCTCCCTCTCCCTCTTCCTCCCTCTTCCTCTCTCCTACCTTCATTCATATAGTGTTTGATATATCTCAGAGTAAAACCAGGAAAAGCTGGGCAGTATTCACTCATACATCTTAACCTTGCTTCTTTGTCTGGGTGGGTTTTAACTGAGTCAGATGCTAGTGTTGTCTGGAGTACCTTTTCTGTTCCTGGACAGCTTTCTGGGCAATCTGTCTTTCTTCTTCCCTGGCTTTCTTCACAGCCTCCACCTTCTCCTTGTGGCACTCCATCATAATCCTCTGGATTCTATGGACCATCCGTTGTTCTGCAGCAGAGTGCTCTCTCTTTAGTTCCTCATCCATGTTTTGAAACATCTCCATCTTGGTTTTATTTTCTACAGCCTTAAAGAAATGGGATGGGGAAACTTGATTTAGAGATTACAGGCTTGATGTTTTAAAGAGAATACTGGAGGCTAAGTCCATCAAAGTTTCATTCATCTGAGATGATGGAACCTATTAAACAGGTGATTTAAAAATAACTGTGAATTATAAGGAAATTTTCATTTTAATAAAATATTCATATATATATATATGAAAGATCACATTGAAAGGCACTATGCAAAATGAAAATATGTTCGAGGGGCATGGTTAAAGTTTTTTGGCTACTTTTAATCTTTTAATTTTCTCTTCTTTTTCAGTGCTGTTGGCCAAACCTAGGGTTTCACTGATGCTACGCTACCACTGGGTTACAGCTCCAGCTACATGTTTTTATTGATTGACACAGTATCATTGTACATGAAAATATGAAATGTGATATTGGGAAATGGCATTAATAAACACCATGAAGGGAACCTGAGGCTCAGACAGGAAACACGCACATCATTAAGTCACAGAAGCCTGCCTTCCTGTTCCACTGCTGCTCTACATCTTCATCTTAGGGTTGCTGGCCTTTCTCATTCACGGAGGGGACAGATGCTCATTGTTCTAAGGTAGGAGGGCATGTGGAGCATTTTCAACCAAGTAGAGAAAGAGAGCAATAGTCAAACCATTATTTGTGGCAAAGTCTCATAAAAGGACCTAAAGAAAAAGCCTGTTACCATTTTGGAAATGCCTACAAACTCAATGGTGTGACAGCCTCTGCTGGGCCAACATACTACCAAATACAAGAACACTTGGGCCCCCGTCCTCAGAGGAGTCACAGTGCAATGGACAAGATCAAGGACTGCATTAGTACTCACAATGATATTTGTTCTTTACCATTGTATAATGGGTATTGTGTCAGGATCATACTCAAGAAATGAAGAGCAATTAAATATGTCCTGAACTTTCACTCATTTCTTTTCTTTCTAGAAAAATATCTCAAGGATAAATTTATTTATTGGAATTTGTGTATAGGTCAGTGACAGAGCATTTGCCATAGCAGAGTGATATATTAGCTGTCCCTGAAGTATTCCTAGTAGGCCAATAGTCACAAGATAAGACGACCTCTTTTTTGTTTTAAATTTTCACTGTGATATGTATTCATTGTACATGACAGTGTTAGAATCTAATGTCTTCAAGAGAAAAGATTTCCCTTTCTTTAAAAAAAGATTTATTCATATATTTTATGTATATGGGCATTTTGTCTGCATGGGTGTCTGCACACCAGAAGATGGCATCAGATTCCACAGAACTACAGTAGTAAGCCTCTATGTGGATGTTGGGAATTGACCTCAAGGTGTCTGGAAGAACAGCCAGTGCTCTTAACTTCTGAGCCACTCTCCAGCCCAAGAGAAAGGTTTTCAAGGTCTCATTTTGGCTACTTTAAGAGTAGACAAATTTGGGTGCATTAGAACATCCCAACATTTAGGAGGCAAGAGGATTATCATGAGTTTGAGGTCCGTCTAGTGAGACCCTGTTTCAAAAACACAATCCACAGCTGGGGATGTGGCTTAGAGGAGAGTAGCCGGGCTTGCTGAGCAAGCATGAGGACCTGAGTTTGAACCCCCAGCATCCATGTAAAGAGCTGGGGCATGACTGTCCATACCTATAACCCCAGTATTAGGGGACAGAGACAGGGGGACCCGGAATCTTACTGGGCAATCCAGCCTAGCCAAATCAGTGAGTTTACAGGCCAGTGAGAGAGAGCCAGCTTTGTTGTGGTTTTCAGGAAAATGGATGCAACTAGAGGTAATTATGAATTAAACCCAGTCTCAGAAAGAAATCTCATGCTTCCTCTTAAATGTGGTTCCTAGATTTTATGTTGACAGATGAGATCATGTATGTACATATGATATAAAAGTAGAACTAAAACTGCCCAGAGAAACAAAGGGAACTATTGGACAGGGAAGGGGGTTTGAGATGATATTCCCAAAATATGATATATGCATACATATGATATATGTGTATTGTGTATACTTAAATGTCATTATGCTGCACACTCTCATGTACAATGAATACATATCACAGTGAAAATTTAAAACAAAAAAGAGGTCCTTTTATCTTGTGACTATTGGCCTACTAGTAATACTTCAGGGACAGCTAATATATCACTCTTGGCAGTTCAGAAAACCAAATTTAGGGAAAAGAATGTAAGAAGGAAGTCCAGGAGAATGGAAAGGACAGCTTGCTCTATTGATTAAATGACGTGTGTCCCTGCTAAGTCAAAGCGCAGTACTGGACACCAGGGCTAGCATAGCGACAAGACAAATTGCCCATATGGAGGCTGTGGTCATGCCAGAGAACCAGACATTCAACGGCTAGTTATGCAGTTGGTTACTTGATTAGGTGCTGTTTAATCTGTGCTATGGAAGAACAGAGCCTTGTATCTTGTGAATCACCGAACCTTTACGAATTGCTAATCTGATCCTCACTAACTACTGCCCCTCCCCATGTCGACTTACACAAGTACTTCTTTACCGAGTGACATGCTTTTAAAAAGACAATGAGCAAGTCAATATGTTTATACATATAAAACCTTTAAGTCTTTTTGGTGTTGCTCCTCCAGCATCTGAACTTCGAATCTGTGCCTGGCATTGGCGTCTTCGAGGGCTTTGTCCACTGCTTGCTGTTGGAGTTCAATGGCCTTTGAAAGAGAAGGTTCATTTATCTACTAGCATTTCAGGGAGAGTGCAGAGAAGCCGGTCATTGTCAAAGAGGCTGGCAAGCTAGGTTTTCACGCTCAGTGAAGAGTAGCAGCCACCAAGGGGTCCCTAATTGCACTGTTCTCCTCCTACTTCCCACAGAGCCCTGGCTGCCTTAGCTAGATGCACAGAGCACACTGAGCCCTGGGCTGCCTTTGCTGTGTTTGGAATTACCAAAGGCAGGGCAGCGTTTGCAGCTGAGTATGTCAACCTAGGAAACATAGAGACGGCAACAGACACATAAAGCCAAAAGGCTCTAGGCAGGGAACATGAATACCATTGAGACCCCATTGAGTCAGGAAAGAGTTTATTTTAGATTATTTGAAGAAAATACTCAGATACCGAATAAGCATATTCTAACTGTAGACTGTTCATAAGAGCATTTCTTTATGTCGGGATGTGTAAGAAATTGATGGCTCTTACTGTTGGATTTTTATTACTACTAGATTCTGAGTGTCGTGCTCTATCTTCCCCATAAGAGCTTTAATTCTCTTTAGAAAGTCATTTATTCCTCACCCATGATTGGAAGAACTGGGGGCCGTGGGTTTGAGGCTCTACTTAGTTCCAGCTACGAGCAAAGTAGTACTTCCCCCAATCCTCAAGTAGCCCCACAGAACTCAGCGGCCATGTGCCGAGTGCATCAGGACTTGGGTTTTTGCTTTATTTGCTTGTTTAAGTCACATGGGTCCCTTCTTAGATTGCCTAGGCTAGTCTTGGTCTTGCCAGCCTCCTCCTGCCCCTGCCTCCTCCTGCTCCCAGCCTCCTGTGTAGCTGGGACTGTAAGAACCTGATGACTAGAAGCATCAAGGACTTGAGAGACACTAGATAAGGAGAGTAGGTCAAGATAAGGCATTTGGGGAAATGGGCATTTAGTTAGAAGTATTTATTACATACTGCACAGACAGATAGCCCATAAATGAACAGAAGACCATAGTAAACAATTTACAACAAAGATGGCCCTATCCTGTTAAAGTTTCAATCAAATGAGAGTAGTGGCCAAAGCCATCCCAGCAGAGGGTAACTTGGAAGGAAATTCTTGGCAGGACCTGCTTCTTCCTAAGCATCACCTCATGCCAAGCGTGTTCCTTCACTGAACCCCCTCAATGAGCCGTTACTCCCCCCTCCTTACAGATGAAGCCAGGACGCAGAGGGCAAAGACCCCACAGTCTGCCAGGACTCTGTGGGCTATCTCTTGCCTGCTATTCTGTGATTTACAGTTTTCCATGAACCCAGAAAAGATGTGGTTGGGGTGATTTCTGAGCCCTTTACCTGCTTCCAAACTTCAGCTTCGGCTTTTTCAATGCTTTCCTTGAGAGCAGCCTCTTGAAACTGCTCTTCTTGGTTCAGGATGCTTGCCCCAATATCTGTGTATTTGGACAAAAATCATTACAGGCCCCTGTAGACGGTTCCCTGGCTTTCCTTTCTAACATCAGCTAATTATTTGTGCGAGCCATCTAGGAGACGCATCCTATTAGGTGATGTCAATCATTTTCATTATTTTTGACACTAAGAATTAAACCCATTATGCTAAGCATGCTCCTTTCCACTGGGATGCATCCCCAGCCTCCACTCACCTCTTTGGAAATGCCCACTGGAAGGGTAAGTTTTCCAGTAACTGGCTAAGCGGGAGCTCATCACGTAGGCCCAAATAGTCAGTTAGTTTCTCACACCCCAGTGTAAACAGTAGGCAACAAAAGAAAAATGTCCTGCAAGGCGTGGCAGACTCGAGCAGAATGTGGAGTCACAAGGCTTTGGCACATTGTACATCTCTCTCCTTGCTTCTGACAGGGTGCTGTCTTTAATACATCGTGTCAATGCCTCTCATTAGTGTTGGTCATGTGAGCTAAATTTCTAGTTTATTATTACCTTGTCAACTATCTAATTTGACTTTCTCATAATAACATCCCATAATACCGTCTCCACTCAAAGTGTCACTCTAGAGAAGGTAGAGAGACACACAGAATCAGATAGGTCAGAACACTTTTGGACCTGGAACAAGAACTTAGTCCTTTGGTATGGTCTCAGGGTTTATACATCTTTTCACCTGAGATGACCCTTACATTGTTACAGTGCCTAGCATGGCAGTCCTCATTTGCTCAACATCTCCTGCTGTGGTAGCGGGCCCCACTTCTCTCAAGAACTCCCTCACTTGAGTGGTGTGGTAAGATTGCCAATAGCATCATGCAAATCTCTTGGCCCTCCTTTCCTAAAGAAGTTAGTCTGGAATCAGGCACAAAGCCAACTCTGACCAGTCACATTCCTCCCTCGGCTTTTTTGCATAAGGATGTAAAGAGCAATAGCTTCTTTTCCTCCAGGATTTCTAAACTGTGAGTAATACATGTTAGAACCATTTATATCCATATCCTTTCTAGATGCTGAGTAGGCCTGATGCAGTACCAGCTCAGCCAGTTAGACTAAAATCTCAAAGACAGGTTCCACCTTGAGTTTTTGTTAAAAGGATCAAGAAATTCTATCACAAATTTCCATATTATGCATTCTGTTCAAAGTTGTTTCCATCACCTACAGCTGAAAGATGTATTTTTGGGTTAGAACTTTACAACTAGATCATTAATAAGTCTTTTTAAAACTTATTTCCCCCTTTAAAGATTTGTTTTTATCACTTCAATTAGTGGGCAGGTGTGTGTATCTGTATGAGTATGTTCAGGTACTTCCAGGGGCCAGAGACATTGGATTCCCTGGAGCTGTAATTACAAACAGTTGGTGTGGGCACTGGAAACTGAAATTGGGTCTTCTGGAAGGACAGCAAGTGCTCTTAACCTCTGAGACATCACTCCAGTGCATCCCTGCCCTCTAGTTAGTGAGTCTTAAAACAAAGCAGTAAATATTGTGGTAGAGGTGAATGCATATAATCTCAATATTGTGTTAATTCATTATATTCATAAAAATGTAACACAAATGTAGGGTAATGTTTTTAATGTTTAAATACCATTATATTTGTTGTTCTCAACCTTAATTGCGGAAGACATCTACAGAAAGGAGACGCTATTAATAAAAACTTCAGTGAGTCTAAAAACCACTGTGCAGATGAAACAAAGCTGGTGTCAAAAGGCTATACATTATATGATTTTGTTTGTTAGCATTCTCAAGTGATAAAACTATAAAGGAATAGATTAATGACTGCCAGAAGTTTGAAAAATATGACTGACTGTTAATGGAAAGCATGAAGAAGATTCTTTGTGGTGATGGTTACATGAATATTCATGTGATACATTTCATAAAGCTACACTTCTAAGGGGGAAATGATTTGGAAGGTGTGTACCTGAGGTAAGAGCATTGTTCTTATCATGCTAACTTCCTAGTTTCGACAATGTACCAATATTATATAAGAAACCAATGGGGGGAAAATCTAAGAACCTAAAAATCAAACCATTCCAAAACAAGGAGTTTTAAAGAGGTAAGAAAAATGTACATGGTGAGGCCTGGCCCTGGAGGTTGTAATGGCAGATAAATCATTGTCCTGTGAAATACTCTTGTATAGATATCTCAAGGTGCTTTTGAGTTTCCTTATAAAGAAAGTAGAATTTTGGCTCTATTTTTATTTATAATAATTTAATGACAAACACAAGCAAGTAAATACAAAATACTGATTTATACATACTTTTATCTGCTCAGGGTTTAGATTCATATATCCTATAAAGTATAAAGAATCACTTCAAGTATATTGTTAAATCATTAAAGAATGGGGATGGCATTGTCTTGGGTCTAAGGATTACTTTAGAGATTACAAGTAATAATTCATACCAAAAATTTACAAAAGGTTAAAATAAGTTTGGAACTGTTGTTTGAGAGGATGTTTATAATTCTATTTCCCCTGCATTTTAGTTCAGGTCTTAACTTCTTTTTCAGTAAATTAGGAGTGAAATCAAGTAACCATTAGCTTACAACACCCATGGCAAAAAAGACAGGAAAAAATATTTGAAGGGTCTCTAGAAAATATACATAAAATCCAGGATTAGCTAAAAAATTTTTTGGGTGTAAGTGAGAAATGGAAATATGAATTGCAATTCATTTGCTTATATACCATATGTATAATGTATGCATGATAAAGATTCCTATGTTATTTATATGTATCTGCTTTTGTCACTAGCTACAAAAAAAGGCTAAGTTTCTTCCACTCACTTACTGGGTTATTTAGATATTTTCTCTCCTGTATATATATGGAAAGTCCCCAGGTACAGGCAAAGTTGGAAAGAACACACATTTACTATGATGTTCCAGGTGTTAAACAGGTACAATATCTCATTAAAGTTTCAAAACAATTTCAAAGATATGTATTAACACTATTATTCACAGCAAGAAACACATTGAGAGACTGAAAACTCTTTCCCATGCACAAAACGGTTAAGTAGAGTGACTATATTCCAACACATTATCATTTCACGATGGATTTCCTACAGAGGCAAGTAACCTTAAACAGGAAGGAACTGAAGGATGACACACAATGCTATTCTATGCCATAACAAATGAAAATAACAAAATCACTTCCAGGCACGGTGGCGCATGCCTTTAATCCCATCACTTGAGAGGCAGAGGCAGGTGATCTCTGTGAGTTCGAGACCAGCCTGGTCTACAAAGTGAGTCCCAGGACAGGCAGACCTATGTAGAGAAACCTTCTCAAAAGATCTCCCATCACACCATCCCAAAAAAGAGTAAAATCACTTACCCAGTATATCTTTGTGAGTGTAAAAGCGTGTCTTAAATGGCTTGTATTCATGGATCCGTTTGAAGGTTTCCCCAAATGGGGCTGGTGGGATTATTTTATTGCAAACAGCACAACAAACAAAATTATTATAATCTGGATTTCTGATCATAGTTAAATTTCTGATTCCTTTTACTGCTTACAGTTATAATACTATCACAATCAGAAAAAAGGCAGTTTCAAGAGAAGCTAGAAGTCTAAGAAAGCTGGAAGAGGGTCAGGGTTTTACGATTCTGCTAGAGGATGTCAAGAATTAAACAATTTGTCATGATTAGGCAGTGGCTATATGTCTAAAGAATGGTATTAACAACCTCTGCCATACAAGGTGTGGGCACTGGATTTGGGCAGAGGTAAGCAGTTTCTCCCTCCCAGTGTCTAGCATTAAGTTGTCAACTTACTTAACAACTGTTGCTAGGTAAGACAAGCTTTGCTCATAAAAGCAGCTTGAAATGACAGCTGAGAGCAGAAACAGCTGCTGTGCATTTGCCTGAGTTTCCTTTTGCTGCTATAACAAGTAAGCACATCTTCATGAATTACCTAAAACACACATTTATTCTATTTAATTTCTGGAATTCAGAATCTAAAATGGCTTTAGGGCTATAATCAAGACTCCAGGAGGGCTGGTTCCTTGTGGAGGCTTTGGCAAGACTGTGTTCCCTGTCTTTGAAGGCCATACACCTTCCTAAGACTCATGGCCTCTGCTTCTGTAGAGGAGCCACTCCTTCCCCTGATCTTTTGCCTCTCTCTGTGGACCTCTATGTCTATACCAGGCACCTCAACATGAGCCAGGATGATCCCATCATCTCAAGATCCTAAATAAGGTCAGAGCTGCAAGGTCCCTTTTACCGGGTATTCACAGGGGCCAGTGGTAGGATCTGAGTGACTATGGGAGGGAGCATTAGTCAGCTGACCACATTTTGTTTTAAGAGTGCTTTTGTTAAAGAATTTTTAATAGACAGTGGAGGCAGTCTCCGAAACATTTTCAGGTTATTATAAATGTGCTTTGGTGGCATGGAAATACAACTGGGAAATATAGTGGTATTCTAATTGGAAATTTACTTTGATTAAGTCTGTATTCAAAATCACCAATCCTGGTTTTCAGATTTGGGAGGGCATCTTTGTTACTTTTTTATTGCTGTGATAAAACACCATGACTTATAAAAGAAAGTATTCAATTTGCTTATGGTTTCAGAGGGTTGAGTCCATGATGGTGGAATAAAGGCATGGGGGCAGGAACAACTGAGAACTTACATCTTAAACTGCAAGCAGGAGCAGAGAGGGTATAGTTTTGAGGGTTTTGTTTGTTTAAGAGAGGCTTTTACTACATCACTGTGGTTTTCCAGGAAATTGATTTGTAGGCAACATTCCTCTCACCTTGTAATTACAGGTACAGTTAATCTTGGCTTTTAAACACCATAATTTGTTTCTATCATTTTTAGAGAAACAGTCTTACAGACATCGTTCTGCTGATTATACGAAGCTACTGAAATTGTTTTCATTTGTTTGACAATGTCACACACAGCATCTCCAGAAGGATTGGTTTTATGAAGGAACGAAACCTTTGTTGAGATGAATTTCAACACATACCTCCTAGAGGGTCCCGGGCTAGGTGCCTCACAAAAGTTACCAGATAATTCCTTCATGTATCATGGTTTTTATTGACTATTATGGCCTAATACCTATCTGAAAGCCTTAATTAATTCTGTCAAATGGAGTCACAGAAATGGTGCAAGAAACTGGCTGGTCAGATTTGGGAGATTGGTTCAAAAGAGATGAATTCCACATGAAAGCATCAACACCTCAAAGACCTGAATAGAGAATGAAGTTGCCTCTGCCAACATGGCTGTCCTATCTATTCCTGGATTCTTTTCCATACACAGGGTTAAGAAACTGCTCTGTGTTTGCCTGGAACCATCTTCGTTTTAAAATTTTTCAATTTTCTTTAGCTCTATATCACAAGAACTCCTTCAGTGTCCATAAAACTTCAAGAATTGTTTACTATAGAAGATAATATATAAAAGCAATAAACAAGTGTTTGCTTTAAGAAATTCTCTTACCAGAGGCTTGTGAGGTCATGGATTGTAGAGGTCAACCTACTACTGCCATTTCACTAAATCAGTATAATAACTAACTGTATTGTGAGCACTTATCCTTACACTCATAGGTAACGTAACTGCCATCCCTCATCAAAGACACTTCAGTTAGACAGATACCATTACAGAAAACTACAGCTGGTCAAAAGGAAGTAAACAACTCATCATGGGGTACCCAGCACAAATAGTTACATCTATGACACAACTCCTGCACCTAAAGGAATTCCTGATGAGGGACCATCAAGAGAGAGGGGTGGAAAGATTGCAAGAGCCATAGGTGCAGAAATTCTGTGAGACTGTGTCTCCCGGAAATGACAAGGAACCTTCACTTATGATACCTCAACAATATGGCTGCCTAAGCATGATCTGAACAATGACAACCCCAATAGACATGCCATTGTGGGAGGGGGAAGGCTCATAGGGCCCCATCCTGAACAATGACAACCCCAATAGACATGCCATTGTGGGAGGGGAAGGCTCATAGGGCCCCATCCTAGACACAGAATACAGGCAGCCAGATTGCTGAGACAGAATTCATAATTTTAAATTAAAAATAAAGGGAAATTCATTAAAGTAGAGTGTTAGAGATGATTTTAACATCAGCACTTGGGAGGCATAGGACAGTGGATCTCTGGGAGTTCAAGACCAGCCTGGCCCACATAGAAAGTTACAGATCAATCAGGCTATCAGGGTTATATAGTGAGACTGTCTTAAAAAATGGAAACAAATTCTTTCCAAAAAGTATATTTTGTTTATTAGGTGTAGATACATATGCCATGGTACACATTTGGAAGTCAAATGATAGCTACAGGATGATGTCAGTTCTCTCTTTTCACCATGTGGGTCTTAGGAACTGAACTCAGGTCATCAAACTTGGAGGCAGGCACCTCTACCAAGTAAGCTGTCTTGCTGTCCAAGAAATTCTTGAAAATCAGTTATCAGTCAGACAGCTTGTTGATTTGTTGCACCCTTCTCCCATGGGGGTTCTGCTGACTACTTGTTACTAGGGGCTTTTAGCTAAACACTTCTCATCCCTCCTCCCAGGAACACCTGCTTGCAAGGTCCTGCTTTCCATCCTTTGTCTAAATGCTAATTCCTGTTTTGGGCCCACCTTTTGCTAGAGGGCCCTGGGAACACAGGTATCAGACCTTAGGGATTTTTCCACCAGGCCTGCCTTTGGTATATAAGGCTCCACCCTTGTAATAATAAATGCCATTCTTCTTGTAAGAGTGAGCCGCTGTCTTTGTCTTCATTTTACATCCTTAGCCCTGAGCCTCGGATCACTGTGAAGTATGGCAGCACCGTAGCCGCGAACACACCTGTGGCATGCTACAGCAAATAGCTCTCCTATCAGAACAAAAATACTCCCAAGGACAAAAGTTAAATTTATGCCAGGCACAATGGTGCCAAGGACTCAGAGCCTTAAGTAAAAAGATCAAGTTAGAGGTCATCCTGGACTATATTACCTATGAAGACTTTATTGGTTTGACACTGTAAACCAATAAAAAATTCATGGCTAGGGAGGTCATAGGTCCTAGGAAGAACTCACTAGTATTGTTTATGCATGGAGTCAGACTGTATTTTAAATACTAATGCTTATATCCATTAATAAATTCTACTCTCATCCTTAATCAGAGACACTTCCCTGCACTTAAGAACAGTGAACTCAGAGACTCAAGGCTTTGCAAGCTGATAAGAATAAGGACAGCTGAGAGCTCAGCAAAATGTACAACCTTTATATACACTCTCCCGCTCCTAAGAGGGAGAAACATGGCAGAGGGGAGAATGCCAAGAATATAAGAGCTGGAAGACATGAAGACGGGCTGTGAAATACCATCTGTGGGGCGTGACACAGCTACGGAAAACATAATCAGCAATGGTGACTGCCTGTGTTAGGCCTACACAAAGCTCTATCCCTTCCTGATAAAATATTAGTTGATGGGTTCCTGGGGATTGACAGGCATTGTCTTCAGTTGTATGCCCTACAGTGAGCCTTCTAGATTCCAATGGCTTGTTCCAAACCTATGGTCAGATGGTTTTGGTTAAGATCAGTGGGTCATAAAACATACAAGGGACATGAATGTGGGGAAAGGAACTGTTGGAAGGAAGGGATCATGACAGGATTGGGAAGGAGACTTAAAAAGGGTGGGGGTTAGAGTAAATAGAATGCCAAGAAACAAATTAAAAAAATCACTTGCTTAAAGATCTGTCTGTTCCCCCACTCTGGAGATTCCCACTCTGAAGAACTCCTCTTCAACCACGTGAACTCAAATTCTTACCTTATCCTAGTCATCCCTTCTTAAACATACCTGACTGCCAAAGTGTCATTTAGTGTAGTTTGCTTAACAAACAGTTCTGTTTGATCAGCAAGTGGTACTGAAGGTCATTGGGGGAGGATTTGGCAGATAACAATACTTTGCATTGTTTCAAAATACAGGAATGTTTCTGTACTTAATACCTGAACATTTTATGTTTACATGCTAATGTGGCTACCACTTAGTTATTAACATGGGCATTGCACTTGAGAGAAACCATAGTTTGATGAACTATGCCTACACTTAGGTGCAAGGAGGTCCAGGTTTCTCTCCATGGCTGAGAATCACCGTGACCGAACTATTATTAGCTGCTTAACTAACGATAGCATGACAGGATTAGAGCAAGTCAAAATCAAAATAATATGACTTTTTCAAAGGGTACTTGTTTTGTTTTATTATTGGTGGTTAAACCCTCAGTCAACAGACAATGGATGAAAACATGAATACTTAGCCAGGACACATTTGAAACTTTGCATATACAAAGTCTGGTATAACCTGTAACACTTTGCAGAAACTAGTATAATAGGACACTTGCTCATACTATCCACAGCTCCATATTTGACTACTTCTTTCCTGATTGCTTCACACCGCTATTGTAAGGTTGAAGGCTTCATGCTGTACAGTTTTTGTAACCCTTCTGTACTGCAGGAATCTATTATTACCTCTGACACTATCAACTTGCCTTGTTAAGCAAGAATTTTAGATGGTAATGATTCAGTAACTGCATAAGCTGAAAATAGATCTATAAAAACAAACACAGAGATGCCAAGAGTAAAAGACTTAGATTAATAGGCATCAGAATGCCAGTCCTCATACTTGAGCAGCAAGCCATATGCCCACTGTGCCAACTTCCCATGCCCTAGCTAAGATTCTGTGTATATAAATCAGGCATAGCTAAATCTTCATACACCTTGCAGAACCACAATGAAATGCTAGAATTAAATTTTACATGATAATAATCTCTGTCTATGCTGCTATTATT